TGTTTGCCATCTCGCTCCCTGTCTCTGACGCGTACGCCGCTCCATCCAAATGCAATAGTGGGATTTGCCAGAATTATTTCCTAAAGCTGCCGGGGAGAGGGGGAGGTTTGGATGGAGGGGGGTTATTTAACTGCAACAAACTGGAGTTTTGGCTGGTGGAGGAATTGGGGGTGCAGGCTGTCCCGGCCCGGCGCTGAGGGGAAGGGCAGAGCCCGGGAATGGGTGGGAGAAGGGGGGAGGCAGCCTGAAAGGGAACCGAATGCCAGTACAATGGAGCAGAGCTGGGTGTGCTTAGGGGCAGAGGAGCAAATTGAAATATTTACTGACCCCAAAGGCAAGAAAGATAAAAAAAATATGAAGCCCCAGGGAACGGCAGTGCTGTCGTGCTCGGGGTCTTGCCCTGCCGCTGGTGACAGTGCTGTTGCCCTTGTCCCACTCGGGGCTGGCAGCACGGGTGCTGTGCACTCCAGGAGACACCGGCCAGACCACCCGGGTGGGGTGTGGGATTGCCCCTCTTACAGCCCAGCATCCCTCTCCGAGGCACTCCAGAGGGTTCCCAGCCATCTGCCTGGCTTTGGGTGTGCCTGTCCCTCGTGGCGCTGTGCAGTGGCAGCTGGCAGATCCCTGGAGGGCATGGCCCCGTGGGAGTGGTGTGCTGGGGACACCCCCATCCCCACAGCGCAGAGCCCCTTTGGCTGGGCTGGCCGGACATTCCTCGCATGCCCGAGCCCACGCGGGTACCGTGGCACAGCACATCCCACCCGAGCGTGCAGCTACCTGGGGACACGGGGGGCTTCCCACCGCAGGCCTCCTCTCAAATCCTGCCTGGGCATCCTGCAGATTCCCAGCAAGGTACTGCCTCGGGAAGGAGGGGCTGGCCCAGGGGATGATCTTTCCAGGAGAGGCAGCGGGGTGCACGGGGGGCACTGCGCGCCGTGCCGGGGTGCGTGTGTGGCTTGCTGGAGGCAGCTTGGCGGACTCCACTCAGTGCCGGAGCCCCAGGGAGTCCAGCTGCCTGGCACACAGGCAGGGCTTTTTTTTCCTCTTCTTTTTCTTCCTCTTTTATTTATGAAAAAAAAAAAAAATCCCCCCTTTTTTTTTTTTTTTGTACGTTCTTGGAATAATGAAGTCCAGATTTCCTTCATGTTGGAAAGATTTGATCCCAGCTCTGCTTGCTGTGGCTTTGCTGGGGGCTGGGAGGAGAGGTGGGGAGGGGAGGGTTGGGAGTGGGACCCCTCTGGGGAGGGGGATGCTGCAGCCGAGGGGGGGGTGTGAGGAGGGATGGAGGGATGCTCCTCACCTGGGCAAGGCTTGGGTGGAGGAGCGTGCTGCAGCAGTTCTGGCTGTGCTCGCCTCACCCTGTGTGCTTGGCTGGGCACCCAAGGAGGTGAGGCTGGGTCTCCCCCCTCCCCAATTCCTACCCCTCACCCCCCGAGCCCGCAGTGGAGTTCAGTCCCCCCGGGCTGACTGCCAGCCCTCCCCAGAGGGTGCTGGCTGCCAGTGGATGATGGAGAGCGATATGGGGAGATGTGGGGCTTGTACCCCCCATGGGGGTGGTGAGTGCAGCGAACTGACATCCCTTCCCCATGTGCCCTCCTTGGCAGGCTCAGCCCCCCCGGACTCCCCTTGATTTCGGCGCCCAGGCGTGTGCCCACCATGCCCGTGGTCGGCGTCCTCCTCTGGGCCACCCTGCTGACTCTGGGCTGGCGGGCTGCCCACCCGAAGGACCACGGCTTGGCCACCCCCAGGGTCCAGCTCTCCTTCAAAGGTAAGAGCCTGGTGGTGGATGTCGGGGGGGTAGGGTGGGACCCCAAGATGAAGGAAACCAGGGGAGCCCCAGTGCAGGCTGCTTCTCCTCCTCCTTACTCGGCTGGCATCAGCAAGCTGCATCCCCAGAAATCTCCATGGGCATCCATATTCAGGTGTGGCTGAGCTCCCAGTCTGCACCAGCACACACAGTCTGAGAGGGCTGGTAGCCTGCCCCCCTGGCTGGTAGCCTGGTTCCCCCAATATGCTTTCCCTAGTGGGTGGGTGGCTCCCTCCATCTGGCAGAGCTGGATGCTGAGGTGCGGAAAGCACCCTCCCCGGCAGCACCCCGATTCCAGACAGCAGCTTGACGGCGCCTCGACCCCCCCAGCTGGTATTAACGCCTGGGAGCTGGCAGGGAGCCGGGAGAGGCAGGAGGGGAGGGTGCTGGGTGGGGGGAAGGTGCTTAACCCTTTCGTACTGGGGCTGCTCAGCCCACCCACCCACTCTAGGAGCTGTGGGGGGATCCTTGGGTCAGCTTTGGGGTGCACACTGGTGAAGGGGTTTGTCCCGAGCTCCTGCTTTGTGGATGCTGAGTGGGGTGGGCTGGGACCGATGAGACAAGTCCAAGGGCTTGCAAACCTCAAGGAGCGGAATGGAAATTGTCCCTGCTGGGGGTTTGTCTGCTTGGATGCGTGTCAGGAGGTGACAGACGCGAGGAGTCTCGTGTCTGCCTTCCCTCGGGGTCCTTGGGAGAGCTGGGACTGTGCTGCCTGTGCCCCTGCCGTGCAGTCCCACCGTGCCTTTGCCCTGCAGTCACAAATCGAACTGGCGAGCCCAGGATGTGGTGGCAGAACCGGTGGTGAGCACAGGGCAGGATGAGCTGGGGGGGCTGGCAGCAAACACAGCAAGGCAGGGCTGGCCGAGGGTGTTACAGGCTGGTCTCAGCAGGAAAAATGGCTGGTATGAAGAGTCTGGGGACAAGTCCAGGCTGGAAAGCAGTGAGCAGTTCCTCCCCAGAGGCAGGCACAGCTTTCCTCTCAGAAAGGTGTTTTCAGAGGATTTTGGGGGCTGCTGGGGCACTTTGGCTGCTGTAGGGGAGCCTCTCCACCCTGGCTCAGAGCATCTCTTCCTCACAGGTGTGGTGAGGGGAGGGGAGGCTCCAGTGAAGCCCCAGCTGGACCTGGTGCCCACTGCCACAGTGTATCCCAGAAGCAAGATTAATTCCAGATAGACATGGTTAGGCTTGCTGTGGTGCATGTTGGGGGCTGGTTTAGTCTTGGTATTTTTTGGCCCCCGCTTGCTGGAGTGAGGGCCCCTGGCTGTGCTCAGGGGACCTGGGAGCATCACCCAAGTGCCTGTGTCAGGTTCTCCACTCCTTTCTGCCTGAGGAGGTCTGGCAGAGCTCCTCCTGCCCTCACTGCCCAGAGAGGGGATTTGCAGTAGGAGAAGGACTGGTTTGCACTGGTGCACAGAGAAGAAATGCCAGTGGCGTACTGGATCCAAGCACATCAGGATTGGGAAGGTGTGCCACTCACCTCTTCCCTGCCTGCATTCTTGTAGCAGTGGTGGCAGCAGAGAATTATCCTGGGCTCTTCCTCAAGGGCCAACTGGGGTCCACACGCTGAACTGTCAGTGGGCAGCATCCCGAGGTAATAATCTGTCTGCAACCTCCCCAAAGTCATGGGGCCATGAGATGTGGGATGGCAGTGGGATGTCCTGGAAGGTCCAGCGCCTCCTCTTGTCTGGGGAGGCAGGGCTGGTACCCCATCCCTGGCCCTAGATCCCCCAGGACAGATGGAGGCAGTGGAGCTCTGATGGGTGTGGGCTGGGGGACACTAGTGTGATGAGTTGGGCTGGACTCTGCCATCAGGAACATGGCCATGGTGCAAGAGGGAACCTGGAGGCTGTTGGTGTGGGCGCAGCTGGAGGGATGCTGCTGGTTTTGGGGTGCAGGGTCCCCACCACCAACATCCCTCTGGCTAAAGCACCCCTGTGCGCAGGCACTGTCCTGTGGGGTCAAGGTGGCCATGAGCACAGCAGAGTGCTGGAGAAGGGGCCACCATGTCCCTGTGTGTGTCCCCCAGTGCCTTGCCTCAGCAGCCACGCTGCCTGGAGCCCTGCCAGCCCCGGGAGCATCTCTGAGTTTGTTTGCCTTCGCTTGTTATCGCGCGCCAGAGGTTTGTCGCAGCTCCCCGGGGCCTGCGTCATCCTCCACGGAGCCCCGGCGTCTCTGAGTGCCTTAAAAAAAATACATACATAAAATACCAAAGCGATAGGGAAGGGGTGGGAGCCAAGCTCCTGTGCCCTGGTGGGCTGGGCAGGGTCATCCCCCGGTCCTCCCCCCATCCCGTCACCCCCGTGGTGTCCTTACGTCTGTCCTCCTCTCAAGGCTTTCCTGTCCGTGTGTCAGCAGGAGGAAGGTGACCGGCATGGAAAGAACAGTGCTGGGAGCGGCTCCGGCACAGCTCCCTTTTGCCAACAGCTCTTCCCAGATCCCAGACCAGTGTTGGCCAGAAATAGGGTGGATATTTTTAATCATCTCCTTGCTAGCAATTCCCCCCCATTCCCGTACACATCCTGCGGCCCCCTCTCCCTCTGCGCCTTCCTCCGGGCCGGGGGCTCAGGCACCAGAGAGGCTGGGCTGTTCCGCACGAGGATGCAGGAGGTGATGATGATGGTGATTCATCCCTCCATGTCCTGCTCCCTGTGCGGCGTGGGAAAAGCGTGCGGGAAGGAAGGGTGGGCTCTCACCCCGCATCGCTGTGGGAAGCCGTTGAGGTCAGGGTTCTCCGTGGGGCTTCAAAACAGGAGCCGCTCCCCACGGTGAGGGGAACAGCCGTGCTGGCACCTCTCAGAAAAGCTGTGGCCCAAGTCCAGCAGGGGCAGCCCTGGCAGGGAGGGGCTGTGTGAGAGGCAGGGTAGTTCCTGCGAGGGGAAAAAACACTTTAAAAAGAATAAATCAAGCATGGACCTTCCTCTTGGCTCTGCTGCCAGCCCCCTGCGTGCCCTCTCTCCTGCCTGACCTCTCTCCTGCCTGCCTTGTGCCTCAGTTTCCCCCCCACCCTGCTGGCATCTCTGCCGGTGGCCAGGGGATATCAGCACTCTTGATCCGGGCTGGGGGGTGGCAGATGGCTGGAGAGGAGCCCGGACAGGGGACTGTGTCCCAGGGCCGCCCAGGCGCCCTCCTAAGCTGCCGCAGCTGTGGGCACCACTTGGCAACAGCGGGATGGAATAAACATGGGGGGGCATGGGGGTGCAGGAAGGGCCAAGGGCTTGGGGACAGCCAGTCCTGGGAACGTGCAGGGCAGTGCTGGCAGTGTCAGTCCCCACCCTGGCATGAGTTTAGGGGTGTGCCGGATCCCCACGCTGCTCCTCAGACCCACAGATGTCAGGGGGATGCCGCAGTCCCCTTTCCCGGGCCCTGGGGGTGGGGCCATGGGGCTGAACTCTTTGACCCCTAAGAGGATTTCCTTGGCTGGGACAGTGGGGGGCTGTGACAGGGCTCCCCCCACCCGCTGGGACCGGCTGCTGCTGAGGCTGAGCTCTCTGGCTCCGGCTGCGAAGCTCTATAAGCTCCTTAAACCCCCCCCCCCCCCCAAAAAAAAAAAAATCCTTGTGTGATTTCAGCCCCCCAAGCTTGTATCTAATAAGCTAGTTATCCCTCAAATTAACAATGCTGCTTATGGAGCAGCATGGCCCTTCCTGGGGTCCTGGCACGGGTGTTCACCCTACTCTGGTGCTGCTTGGGCACAGAGCAGAGGGCCCGGAGCAGCAACACTTTCCACCCGGCACCGTGCCCTGCCCTCAGGGGCTGCGGAAGGAAATAATGTCCAAAAATTAAACAAAAAAAGCCTAAAAGCCGGTGGGTGGGGACACCTCGGCTCAGCTCTTTGCTTTTGGGGGGGATTCAAGTCTTTTTTCTGAAGCCAAGCTCTTTCCTGAAGGGGTTTTCCTACTGCTGGAGCATCCCCTGACCCAGCTCCCAGCGGGGTTTTTGGGTCACCACTGCGGAGTGATGCTCAGTGGGTTCGGGGTCCCCCCTGCCAGCGCTGCTCGGTGGGGCACATCCACCCACCAGCGCTTGGGGCAGGCTGGACGGGGGATGAATCAGCGGTTTCGGCTGAAAAAAAAATGTGCTTTTTCTTTTTTTTTTTCCTTTTTTTTTTTTTTTTTTTTTTTTTTTTTTTTTTTTTTTTTTTTTTTTTTTGGCTTGCGCCCAGCCGGCCAGGCGGCGATGGCTGCGCGGAGCACCCGGCCGGCACCGCTTTCATCCCAAGGGATTTGACCCGGGCGGCCGCAGCACCTGTCCCCTGCCACGAGTGCCGGCATGGGGTGATGCTCCGGGGGGGCTGGAGATGATCGCGGGTGGAAAGCAGCGAGCGGGAGCCGGAGTCATTTCATCTCCCAAGCCCCTGCAAGGCAGCTTCGGTTTCCTCCCACCTGTGAATCGGTTAAATGGGAAAAGAGCTTGGCTGGGGGCCACGGAAACTCTCTTATTACATGTAATTAGCTTAATTACATCATAAATAACCCATCAAGGGGTAGCGGAGTGACGCTCAAACAAATAAGCAATTCTGCTTTCATCGGACGACCCACCCAGCTCTTTGATCAGCCCCAATAACAACAAATGCTTTAACCAGGCGAGGGGACACGTTCAGGCCCCCATCCCTCTCCTGGCATTGCTCCCTATCCTGCCCCTCTGACGGGTACCCAAAGAGCTGCATCCCAAATTTCAAGTAGGGAAAAAATTAGCAGGGAACATCATCAAAATTTGGGGCACGCTTCTAAATTTGTGGGATAAAACGCTGCGGGATGGAGATGGGATTTATCCCTGCTGTGCCAGGCTCCCTTGGGATCAGTGCTGGGCTTCTCCATCGGCATTTAGAGTGAATTCATTCTCCCCCATGCAAAGAAAGGGCTCCCGAAAGGCACTGGCTCCGCCAGCCGCGGGGGGAGAGCGGTTATTGAATATAAACACGCCGTGTAATTTACATGCTAATTATGTTGAATGCGCTACAAGCCCATAATTAGAATCTAATTAGGTGAGAGCGCCTGTAATTGGTTTTGGGGAATGCAGTGATGGTGCACCTGGGGAGGTGCCCCGCTCATGTCCTAATGGCATTTAACTCTTCATGCTGGTGCCCTTGTGACGTTTGAGGGGGATTGAGAGGGATCTGGAGGGCTAGGGTGGGGTGAGAAGCCCTTGGGGGTGTTCGGTTTATCGGGAACCCCCGAAATCTCCCCTTTGATTTGGGTCTCCGTGCCAATGTGCGATGGGTAGGGACTTCTCACCCCTGCCCGTAGGGGCCGGTGGTGGCAGCCAGCAAGGATGGCAGCGTGGGCAGCTGCCAGGGCTGGGAATGCAGCCCGAGTTTGGCATTGCGGGGGGAATTTGGCTTCGCAGATCGTGCAGTGGGGCGGTGGTGCCGCGGGCAGAGCAGAGCATTTCCCGTTGTTGCCAGCCCTCGGGCTCCTGGCCGCCGGCATCGCTCGAGGGTGCAGGGTAATTAAATCTCAACGCCCAAGGCCACAGAACGATTCCGGGGGAGGCGAGTCCGGGGAGGCTCCTCGGAATGCTGCGAGGGGAAGGTCCCCAGGGAGGCCACCCTGGCTGTGATGCCTGAGCGGCTCCTGGCTCCGGTGCTGGCAATTAAAATGGGATTAGGCTCCCGGCCAGCCAGGGAAGCTCTGCCGGTGCCGGGATTGGCAATGGGGATGCAGGAGGGTGTATGTTCATCGGGGCACATCAGCTAATGAGCCGGTTTCTCCAGCCTGAGGGTGCCGCTTTTCCAGCCCCAGGGACACCCCGCAGCTGCTGGGGGCAGGTTTGGGAGCACAGTGGCGATAGGGGATTAGGCAGGGAGGGCAAGGGGGTGGAGGTTTGGAGGGTCAGAGGTTGGGTCAGGGGCTCGCCCGCCCCTCCATCCCCTTTGGAGAGGGCGTTACGGGGCAGTGGATCTGTCACCGCCCTGCCTTGGGAGTGCCCCCTCTGATCGCTGGGCCGTGGGGGGCTGAATGGAGCCCCCAGCGGGGGGCCAGGGCCTTTTGTGCTGCTGGCCTTGTCAACTGCCAAGTTCTGGGGACGCCCATCCTAATGGCTGTCAGATATTTGCAGTTGTCACTGTCATGGGACCCTCTGCCACCAGTGTCCTGGTGCTGTCTGGCTCAGCCCCACGGTCCCGGCTAGGAGGGCGAGGATGGGAGCACGTCCTCTGGGAGGTTGGACATGGTGTCCCCAGGCCAGGCAGTGATGGAAGATGGGGGTCTGTCCTGTCATGGGGGCTCCTGCCCAGTTTAACTGCTATCCCTGCTCCAGGTGTCTCTGTCCTGACTGGGATATCTGGGCACGCAGTTACATCATGAGCAGCTGGGGACAAGCTGTTCTGTTCTGCCTCACCCACTGCTGGAGCTGCCCTGCCCTTTCCTGACTCCCGAACTCCAGTCCCCATCAACACCAGTGTCCTGCCGGGGGAAGCACCAGCACACAGCACACACACACACATACACGTTGTGGGGCACACACGTGTGCACACACAGTGGGGTGGCTGTAGGACGTGGGACAGGCAGAGACCAGACCCAGTGCGCCATGGGACAGGCAGGGAACACTATAGGACAGGCTGGGGACGCCATGGGTGGCAGGCGAGCCAGCACCCGCTACAGGGAGCATCTGGAGCCCAGATGGGACAGGCAGGAGGAGGAGCATGCTGTGAGTGGGTGAGCAGCTCCCCAGCCCTCCATCCTTGGCACTGTTCCACTCCACCTCTGCTGTGGACCCCCCGCCTACAGCCCAAAACTCCAGCCCCTCCTTATACCCACCGTGCTTGTCCTGTACATCCAGGCCTAGCAGAAGGGCAGACCCCCAGGCTGGGGGAGGTTGATCTCGTATCCAGTGACGCAGTTTCCCACAGCCTGCCCCTGAACATTCCCGCTCCGTGGTGCCTGGAGTGCCTTGGCCTCACCACCACAGCTGAGTGGGCTCCACCATGGGACTGGGGAGCACCACTGCCAGCCGTGGGACAGAGTGGGTGCCCAGAATGAAAAGGGACTCTGAGGACACCCATGGGACATTGCCAGTCCGCCGTGAGGCTGGGAGGTCAGAGAGATCTGCAGGCACTTGGCCTCCCACTGGGAATGGCAGCTGGCCGCTGGAGCCCTGCCCAGTCCTGCCTGGAAGCCAGCAGGCTCCTTCCTGACACTGACCTGCAGGACCTGCTCTGTTCCTCCCCAGGAAGGGGGGTCCCCAGCTCCCAGTGCTGGCACAAAGGAACAAACCCCACAGAGTGAGGACACTGACTGGACCAGTGTATCATGGGAGTGGCATCTGATGGCTGTTGGTGGCATCCAAAGGGGGTTATACATCCAAGAGGAGTGGCATTTCCAAGGAGGTTGCCTTCAGAGGCAGATGGCAACCCATGAAGGTGGCATCCAGTGGTTGTTGGTGGCATCTAAAGGGATGGCACCTCCAAGGGGAGTGAGTGGCATCCAGAGCAGATGTCATCCCATGGAGATGACATCTGATATCTGGTGTAGCATCAAAAGGGGGTGACACCTCTTGAGGCGAGTGGCACCTCCAAAAGTGGCATCCAGGACAGATAGTGTCCTATTGGGGTAGAGTTCTCTCTGTCTCACTCATGTCCTGGCCCCTGCCTCGTGGTTCTTGGCACTGGCCCACATCATCTGCAGCACTTCTGCCTCCCATCTGGCTGCCTCATTGCACTTGTGAATATTCATGACCCTCATTATCCTCTTTCACTCCTTGCTCCCACACTCAGGCTAAAAATAACTTTCTGAGGGGGATGGGGTGTGCAGGGTGGGGGAGAGGCTCATCCCCTCCCCTGGGTCTGGCTCCCTGGGGTCCCAGCTCCCACATCCTAGGAGCCAGAGTCTTGGCTGGGACATGGGGTCACAGGGCAGAATAAGGATGATGCCAGAGGTTTTGGTCCCTAGACTGGCATGGCAGAGAGCCCTCACCTCCTGCCCCATCTTGATGGTGAACTCCATTCCCTGCTGTGGTGTACTGGGTCTCCTGAGCCAAGGTCCTGCTGCCCTCTCTCCTGGCCGGTCTTGGTTGTTCCAACTGGCCAGGAGCATCTCTGTCATTGTCCCATGTCCTGCACAGAGGTGGCAGCATCGTGGTACTCACGGAGGGGAAAGAAGGCACCATGGGACTGGAAGGCGGGCACCATGGCCTGGGAGGTGGGCACTTCTTGTCACGAGACCCAGCCTGGGACCAGGCTTGGACTCGTGGGCAGGGATGGCACTGGGGAAGACGGGAGTCCCTGGGGTGCTGACCCTGGGGTGCTTTCCCCTTCTAGAGCTGAAGGCGACGGGCACAGCACACTTCTTCAACTTCCTCCTCAACTCCAGCGACTACCGCATCCTGCTGAAGGACGAGGACCATGACCGCATGTACGTGGGCAGCAAGGACTATGTCCTGTCGCTGGACCTGCACGACATCAACCGCGAGCCCCTCATCGTAAGCTGCTGTGGCAGGGCTGGGGGGGCAGGTGGAAGAGGGACAACTTGAGGGGCATTTTGGATGCCAGCTCGATGGGCATGATGGGCTTGACTGGTGCTGATGGGGAAGTGGTGGGGCTGGGTGGGAGCCCTGTTCTCCCCTGAGTTGGTGTCTCTGCAGATCCACTGGCCCGCATCCCAGCAGAGGATCGAGGAGTGCATCCTGTCAGGCAAGAACAGCAATGTGAGTGGCCACCATGAACCCCCTTCTGGTAGCTGAGGGGGGCTGGTGGCTGGCACTGGTTGGGGATTCATGTCCTTGTGTCCTACCCTGGAAAAGCCATCCCTGTAGTCCCCTGCGGTGTGACAGCATCTGCAACTGTGCTGAGATTGGTTGGCACTCCAGGGTGTCATGGTGTCCTGCCACCCCTTCTGTCCCAGCCATGCAAGTCATGGAGAGCTTCCTGGGAGAGTAGGAGGCCAAACTCCCCATGCTGCTTCCTTCCTCCAGCCAGGGCTAGGTTCTCTGGCTTGACAGCTTGTGGCCCATACCAACCCCTAATCCACACTGTCCTATGTCACATGCCATCCAATGACCCCTTCCATCCCATGGTCCACATCACACCATCACACGCCCACACCAGTCATGGCCCCAGCCCAACCTAGAGCCCCTTGCTGGGGTTGATACCCTCTACTCTGCTTCTCAGGGGGAGTGTGGCAACTTCATCCGCCTGATCCAGCCCTGGAACCGGACGCACCTCTACGTGTGTGGCACCGGTGCCTACAACCCCATCTGTGCCTTCGTCAACCGCGGGCGCAAAGCCCAGGTGAGGGGCGGGAGGGATGGGGTGCTGAGCTGGTGCTGGGCAGGGTGGTGCTGCACAGCCACCATGGAACTGCAGCAGGGTGCATGAGGGCTCAGCTCTGCTGGCTGGTGCTGGGGTGAGGGGGGCAGAGGTTGGGGGGGCAGTGGCAGGCTGGGAGTGACCGTGGCTAACGGTGTTGTGCTGTTGAGTGGGGCCGAGACATTTCCGCAGACCAAGGACTTCTCTTCGCACTGGAACTGTGCTCCCCTGTCTGGAACCTGATGGCAGATTCCATGTAACATGCCTTCTCACCCTGCTGGCTGAAGCCACTGCTGAATCTCCACCAGGACGAGGAACATGTCAACCCACTGTGCCACCCGCTGCCAGGCTGCTCAGCCCCTCACCGTGGATTCCAAGGATGCCCAAAACCACGACAGCACTGGCATTGTACAGGAAGAACCATGGCAAGGGCTATGCCAGCACACGGGGACATATCGGGGTGTTCCTGGACGGATGTCATCCAGCCCCAAGGACCACAACATGCAGTGAGAGGGTGGCATTGAGGCTGCATACCACCAGTCCAGACGCATGGCTGACAGAGGAGCACTTTCAGTTCAGCCCCAGGAGTGGAACCAGTCTCTGCAAGTAGCAACACGGGTGCCCTAGGAGTCCCAAGCCCTGTGAGGTGTCTGTCACCTCTGTGCTGTGGTGGTAGGTCCCAGGCTGTGTCCTTCGCTGTGGAGAAAGGGCCACCAGCCCAAGCTGAGGGAGGATCACGGCGCTGGATGTAGAGGATGGATGTCTGCCTCAGTGCTCCCAAGCCTGGCATGGGCACTGAGAGAGGTGGATGCTGCTCAAGACACTCTAAAGTGATACTGGATCAGACTGGGCAGTGGCAGCATTTGAGGAGGACCAAGGGTGCTGGTGCATGTGTTCATTCAGCAGGGCCCGCAGCATTGTGGCAGGGACCGGGGGTCCCAGTGACCCCGTGGTGCCAGTACCTTTGGTTCTGGGGCATTGCTCCTTGGCACAGGGTGCTGCCAGCTGGGTGGCAGGTGCCATTTTTGCATCCCCAGGTGTGAGCCCAGCCTGGCTGCCTATGGGCAGTTGCCTCTTCTTTCTCTCCTGCTCCATGCCAGGGCACCCCAGTTCTGCAGGAGAGAGGAGAGGCCAGCCCAGCCTGAAGCATTCAGGGACCCCCACAGGCATTACCCAGGGGGACTACAGTGCTGCTGCTCCATGGGTGTCCATCACCCCAGCTCTTGGGGTCCCTTGCTCACCCCTACCCTGGGGGTCCTTCCCCCCAGCAGTGCTAACTGTCTGCCCTGCTCCTTTTCCCCAGGGGTTTCCGCCGAGCCAGCCGGGAGGCCGGGAAAGCGGATCCACCGACAGCCCCCACAGCCCGAGACCAGCACAAAGCAAGGTGGGAACCGGTCTGGGAGCCCGCCGCAGCCGTGCCCACCTGTCCCCAGAGCCGCGGGCTCCTTCGTCCCACTGGCATGCTTCCAACCCCAGGTGTGGGTGCCCTGTGCCGTGGGCAGCCCTGCCATCCCCTTCCCTCTCAGCGCAGCATCTCCCGGCCACCGGGCTGGCGTTGGCTCTCTTTCTCTCACTAACTCCTTCCTCCCAGTCCATGTAGGATCCCCCCCATGGAGGACACTGTCAGGGATGGTGGCTCTCTGCCCACCACCAGCTTTGCCGAACTTCTGGCTTGCTATGTCCCTTAGGAGTGGGATCATGTGTTGGCAGAGCCACTGGGCTCGGGATGATTCAGGGAGGGATGCCAATGTGATGTGAAGGTGTTTGGGTAGGGCCTACAGAAACATCACTGCTTTGCCTTTCCCTGTGAGGGGCTTGTGTCATCCTGGCAGACACGTGGGCTCAGGGAGGTGACAGCATCCTGGCTTCTGGGAACACCCCAGCGTCCAGCCCACCCTGACAGTGTCACCCCCAAGCCTCTCCCCTCTGGACTAACACGGGTCAGTGCATGGGCCAGGGAGCGCGTGGGGTGTGGGCACCCCATGGAAGCCTGAGACCCCTCTGCCCCTGGGGTGATCATGGGGGCAGAGGGTGATGTTGGCTGTGGGCATCTGCCTGGCTGTGAACAGCTCCTGCTGCCAGCTCAGGGAAACCACCCTTTTAGCCCCCTCAGGTCCCTGCAGTTCCTCCCTCTGTGCTGGGGACAGGGAGTGTGTCCCAGCAAGAGCTCCCTGGGGGCTGCTGGCAACTCCAGTGCATTTCAGGGTGTGTTAGGCCAAACAGCAGTGCTGGCACCGCAGTGGCTCGTGGCTTGCCCACCTGAGAGGGTGACATGGCGCAGCCATGGCTGGGGCTACACTGGAGAGAGACAGGTTGTCCCTAGGAGGGGTTTGCCCAGCTTGGGAGTGGGGCCAGTACTGGGCAGAGACATTTGTGATGGTGCCAGTGGCACAAGCCTGCACAACGCAGTGATGGGGATGGCAGAAACATGGCTGTGTCCATCTCCAGGGCTGGGTGTCCCAGGAGGAGGAGCTGGTGTGAGCACATTCTCCAGTGGGAGATGCTTGTAGTGAGATCGTGGTTCCTCACCTCCTCCTGCTCTTCCCAGAGCTGGAGCTCTGCTGGGACCCTGCTGGCCTCTCAGTGGAGGGCAGCTGTCACTGTGTCCATCACCCCTGCACCAGAGTCAGGGCACAGGGCCAGCAGGCAGGTCCACCAGCCCAGTTTGATTGCTCAAAGTCCCTGCCATGCCCAGGATTCCCATGGATGCTCCTGTGATGCTGCTTCATCTCAGCTTAAGGTGGTCCCAATGCCAGGGTGAGCATAGTCTGGCCAACCTGGCCCCGCCTGCCCCCAGCTGGCACTGGCGGAGGATTCTCTGTGTGTCTTTGGAGACAGCGTCAGTCTCGGCCTTGTCTGGGGATGTGTGATGGTGCCAGGGCTGGCCATGGGGAAGGCAGAGGTGACAGTGGGGAGACATCCCATGGAGCAGACACAGCATCGTACCTTGTGAAGAAAACCGCTGGAAAATGGGTCCTGGCAAGAGGAGCATGGTGGGTCTGGCAGCTGAGCTGTGCCACAGGCCAAACCCTGCTTGCTGAAGCTGTTGGAACTGTGTGACCTGGATCTGGCCAAGCGGTGATGTGCAGCACAGCCAGCTGGAGTGAAGAGGCAGCCAAATGGGAATGTCTTTCCGAATCTGGGTAATGGATGTCCCGTTTTAACCTGCTGGCTCAGCCAAGTCTCCAAGTGGTGGAGGGCATGGAGAAGCACTCAGCATTATTGGAGGAGTCACTCGCAGGGGCTTCAGCTTCTCAGGAGACCTGGAGACCCCTTCTGTGGTCCATCCACATCCATCCTCACTGCTGGGCACCATCCCAGAGAAGGCTGCCTCTCCTGGTGGGCTTTGGAAGGTGCCATGGGGATGGAGGGGTGAAAGTCTAATCAGCTCCTCTATTTGCTTACCTCTCCAGGATTATATCTTCTACCTGGAGCCAGACAGGCTGGAGTCAGGCAAGGGGAAGTGTTCCTACGACCCCAAAGTAGACACCGTCTCTGCGTTAATAAGTGAGTCCTTGTGGCTCCCCAGAGCCAGTGTTGCCAGCACAGGGCAGAGGGAACATGCAGGCAAGATGGAACAGCTACTTCCACCATCTTTCTGCATTGTGCAAATATCCCTCAGGAGTCAGATTCCTGCCCCTGCCACTCCTTACTGCCCCAGCAGTGATGGCTGGGCACCCAGGATGCCCAGTCTTTGGGCACCTGGCCCAGCAGAGGTGGGGTTCCTGGTTACAGGCCAGTACCAACCTCCAGAGCTCTCTAGGTGGCCACAGGCAGTGGCTCTTGGTTGTCTGGTGACTACCAGCTGGGTCTGGGGCTGGATGAAGCCTGGGGCAGTTGGAGAAGGTGGGTGGATGGGACTGGGGGTGGTTCCTGTCTGATCTCTGCCCTCTGCAGATGAAGAGCTCTATGCTGGTGTGTACATTGACTTCATGGGCACGGATGCAGCCATCTTCCGCACCATGGGCAAGCAGACGGCCATGAGGACAGACCAGTACAACTCCCGCTGGCTCAACGGTGAGTTCAGGTGTCAGCTGACCCAGGTGCCCTGGGGACCCCATGGCTCCAGCCCTAGAGACAAGACCTGTTGGATCATACTGAATCCTTCTGCCAAGACAGAGACAGCAACCAGCATGGGCAGGTGGATGGGTGGGTGGATGGATGGATGGATGGATGGATGGATGGATGGATGGATGGATGGATGGATGAATGGGTGGATGAATGGGTGGATGGATGGATGGTTGACAGTTGATGACTGATGGATAGGTGGACGGATGGATGGATGGATGGACAGACAGAAGATGTATGGGTGGATGATGGATGGATGATGATGGATGATGAATAAATGGATGGTGGGTGGGTGGATGGATGGATGGATGGATGGATGGATGGATGGATGGATGCAGAAGAGCAGAGGGATAGCTGTGTGAGGCAGTGACAGACATGCCTGGAGCTTTGCTGAGTAGCAGCTGGCTGGTGAGAGGTGGGGCTGGCTCTGATGGTGTCCGTGCAGGGGTTTCTGCAGGGCTGAGATGTCGACCGTGTCGCCTGCAGTCGGTGACCCCGAACGCTCATCCTGCCCCTCTCAGAGCACCCCTGCCCTCGGGACAGCAGCTGAGTAAACAGAGCAGAGCAGATGGGATGATCCTGCCGGGCTGGGGAGCCGGCGGGGCGGTAACCCGAAGAGGGGGAGCTGTCAGCACAGGCTGGGCACCGGCTGATGGATGGCAGGGAGAAGCTTCCTGAGAGGCTTCCATGCTGTGTGTTTCCTTCTGGGGGGAAGACTGGTTCCCACCACCCTGCTCATAGTGGGTGATGATCTCTTCAACCTGTGTTCCTTGGAGATGCTCCCAGGGACCTCAGGGATGCTCCAAGCCCTTCCTGGTGCGCTGATGATCACCAGACATCCAGTTCCTCAGATCCAGCTCTGACCCTGTGACCACAGCAGTGCTTTTCCAGGAGCAGGATGATGCTGGAGAAGAGGAAGGCTCAACGTCCTGCCGTGGTATGGTGCAGGAGTGCTGCTGGGTTGATGGTGCCTGCTGTGTCGTGCCTTTCCAGACCCAGCCTTTGTTCGTGCCCAGCTCATCCCTGACAGCAGTGAGAGGAACGATGACAAGCTCTATTTCTTCTTCCGAGAGAAGTCAGCTGATGCCCCGCTGAGCCCTGGGGTCTATTCCCGCATCGGGCGCATCTGCCTGGTAGGTGGAGCAAGCAACAGGCAGGCAGGGGAGCAGGAAGGGAAGGGGAATGCACAGGGCTGAGTGCAGGGGTGTTTCTGTTGCAGAATGACGATGGGGGCCACTGCTGCCTTGTGAACAAGTGGAGCACCTTCTTGAAGGCCCGGCTTGTCTGCTCCGTGCCGGGACCTGATGGAATTGAAACGCACTTCGATGAGCTCCGTGAGTGGGCGAGAAGGGAGAAGGGAATCATCTCTAACCCTGCAGGCTTGGGGATCACCGTGGGGAGGGCTGGGGACCCCCTTGCTGCCCCTCACCTTACTTTCCCGTGGGTAGCTGCTCTCCCCATGCCCTGGCACCCCTGCCAACCTTCCCTATGGTGACACCTCCATCTTTCTGTCCCAAGAGGACGTCTTCATCCAGCAGACTCAGGACACCAAGAACCCTGTTATCTACGCCGTGTTCTCTGCTTCGGGGTGAGTGCTGACCCTCCTGGCACAGTGCAGCAGAGGAGGGGGTCCCAACTGGCTGGGCGTCCCAGCGATGCCGCACTGGCAGGCAGCACCAAGCCGAAGGGTGGCAGCAGGTCCTTCCTCCCAGGTCGGTCTTCAAGGGCTCTGCCGTGTGTGTCTACTCCATGGCCGACATTCGCATGGTCTTCAACGGGCCCTTCGCGCACAAGGAGGGACCCAATTACCAGTGGATGCCCTACACAGGCAAAATGCCCTATCCCCGTCCAGGCACCGTAAGTACTCCCCGGGCACCCATGGGGAGGTGAGCCGGTGCCTGACAGGCAGCCAGAACCCTTGAACCTGTGCCTGAATATGGTTGTGCTGCAGTGCCCCGGGGGAACCTTCACCCCATCCATGAAGTCGACCAAGGACTACCCTGATGAAGTGATCAACTTCATGCGCTCACACCCGCTGATGTACCACGCCGTGTACCCCACGCACCGCCAGCCGCTGGTGGTCCGCACCAACGTCAACTACCGCTTCACCACCGTGGCTGTGGACCAGGTGGACGCGGCAGATGGGCGCTATGAGGTGCTTTTCCTGGGCACAGGTACCCACGCCGCGCACCGCGGGGAACGCAGCATGCTCCGGCGCGGCCCCGGAGGGCACGGGCACCACCAGGGCTGGCCAGAGCGTGGTGCCCTCCACCACAATAGAGTGGGGTGAGGGGCTGAGACCACCCTCCCCCCCGAGATCCCTGCCCCTCCTCAAGGCTCCAGCGTGGTCCTTCCCTTCCCCATCCTATGGACCAAACCATCCAGCCTGGTCCTTCCCTTAGCCCAGTTCCCATCCTTGAAGTCAATTATCCAGCATGATACCTCCCATTCTAGGGATCCAGCCTGATCCTCTACCTGCCCTGGTGCCCATCCCAGGGGCCTCATCATCCAGTTTCACCCTATTGCTGACCCCAGCATGTACCCTACATGCTTCCTGTTGCCTATGCTAAGCCCACTATCAGCCAGCCTTGCGCCTCCCTTGCCTAATTGCCCATCCCAGATCCACTGTCCTTACCAGACCCTAGTGCCTATCCTGGGTCCATCATCCAGCCCAGTGCTTCCCTCGCTCTTAACACATATCCCAGAGGCCCCATGATCCATCCTAGTCCTTCCCTTGCCCTGCTGCCTGTCCCTGGCTGCTGTCCCCGTGCTGCCCTGGGTAGTGCCAGTCCCTAGCCACAGGTGGAGACCTGAACTGGTACACTGCACCCCAGGCACAGCCACCTGCCACAGCAGGAGAGAGATGGGGATGGGCTTGGGGGATCCTTCCCAGCCCCAGCAGGGACCCCCTTTCCAGGCAGGGAGGGCACAGGTGCCCAGAGGTGGCACTGAGCCCCTGGGCTCCATGGTGTCTTACAGATCGGGGCACTGTGCAGAAGGTCATCGTGCTCCCCCGGGATGACATGGAGACAGAGGAGCTAATGCTGGAGGAGATCGAGGTGTTCAAGGTATGGGCTGACCTGTCCTGCAGCCTCTAATGAGTGTTTTTGACCCAACCAACCAACCCCTTGGGATACCAGCCAGCCCCTTAGTCAGCTCTGGAGGGACTCCAAGCATTGACCCTCCTACCTGCTGCCCCCTCACATCTCCTCCTGCCCACCCCTGCGCCAGTTGCCTCTGGGGGATCTGGAGTACCCACCCCAGAGCTGCAGCATCAATCCAGGCAGTCACTCCTTCTTCACTCCTGCCCTGTCCAGGTTCCAGCACCCATCAAGACAATGACCATCTCCTCCAAGAGGGTGAGTCACAGCACATGGCAGAGGGGCAGGTGGGCAGATGCCATCGTGGGCCCAACCGCAGCACTGCCAAGCATCACCACAGTGCTGCAGCAGGACTCACAGGGGTCCTGGCAGGGTGGGGATGAGGTAGCATCTCACCCTGCGCTCTCTGTCCCCAACAGCAACAGCTGTATGTGTCCTCGGCCGTAGGCGTGACCCACCTGGCCCTGCACCGCTGCGACGTGTACGGGGAGGCCTGTGCCGACTGCTGCCTGGCACGGGACCCCTACTGCGCCTGGGACGGCAGCGCCTGCACCCGCTACTCTGCCTCCTCTAAGAGGTATGGGGGGCCAGGGCACAGCAACAGGGAGTGACCCCCCAGCTGCAGGCTCCCCCTCTCACCTCCTGCCTCCCCACAGGCGGAGCCGGCGGCAGGACGTCAGGCATGGTAACCCCATCCGGCAGTGCCGTGGCTACAACTCCAATGGTGAGTGAGGCGTGGGGCACGGTCCTGCAGCATGAGGGGCAGCTGGGAGGGGAGGCTGAGGGCAGGGGGCAGGGGGCAGGGGACAAAGGGGTGAATGGATTCCCTGGTAGGTTGATGATTTTGTGGGTGGATATATCGGAAGATACATCGGAAGATTACATGGATGGTTGGGTGGGTGGTTGGATGGGTGGATAGATATATTGGGGAGGAAGATAAACATGGAATACATTAGGATGAGGATCAACACAGATGGTGTTGGTGGATGGATGGATATATTGGATGCATTATGGATACATTAGGGAGTAGAATGAACATGGATGGATAAATTAATACATTGTGGGTGGAACATGGATGGATAGATGGATATGTTGGGGAGGAATTTGAACAGATTTGAATGGGTGGATGGATGGATGAATGGATACAGTGGAGAGAAGGATGACCGCAAATGTTGGGTGCATAGATGAATGGGGGTATATGGATACTTCAGAGGAAGATGAAGATGAAAGGGATGGATGGATGGATGGATGGATGGATGGATGGATGGATGGATGGATGGATGGATGGAAGGACACCAGCAGGTGTGTGGCTGGAGGTGGATGAGAGCTCTCCCTTGGAGGGACAGTGGGCAGGGCAGGAGTGCAGAGTGGTGTGGGTCTGGGCACACATGACCTGGCTGCCCCCTGCAGCCAACAAGAACACGGTGGAGGCTGTGCAGTACGGGGTGGAGGGCAGCACTGCCTTCTTGGAGTGCCAGCCCCGCTCGCCCCAGGCCAGTGTCAAGTGGCTGCTGCAGAAGGACAACAGCGACCGGCGGAAAGAGGTAGGGCAGGGCGCTGTCCGGGGGTGCTGGGGGTGCCCAGGGTGCTGTGTGCCAGCCAGCTGAGCCATGCCCCTTGTCCCGCAGCTGCGGGTGGAGGGCCGGGTGCTGCGGACGGAGCAGGGCTTGCTACTGCGCGCCCTCCAGCTTGGCGACAGCGGCCTCTACTCCTGCACCGCCACCGAGAACAACTTCAAGCACACGGTGACCAAGGTGCAGCTCCGCGTCCTCAGCAGCCGCACTGTCCACGCCGTGCTGGTCCAGGCGGAGACCCCTCCTGGCCTGCCGGGTGTCCCCACTCCCCGCTACCAGGACCTGCTGCAGCTCCTCACCCAGCCCGAAATGGGACTCCTGGACCAGTACTGCCAGGGCTACTGGCGGCACACGGCTGCCAGCCCCCCGCAGCCACTGGCTGGCCTCAAAGCCAAGGAGCAGCAGGACCAGAAGAAGCCTCGAAACCGCCGAAATCACCAGCCAGAGACCTATGGGCATACATGAAACCATCATCAGGGACTTTGCTAGCACAGTGGTCTATTTTTCCCCCCTTTTAATATTAAAAATATCTATAAATAAATATATATATATATATATACACATCCACGCACACACACACGCACAAACACACGTACTCCCCCTCCCATGGGAGGTGGTATCTATTTGTGGGTTGTACATACTGACTGGAGCAATGAGATCGCTGCCTCCTGGCCCCAGAGAGGAGCAGAGACCCCTGAGATGCCCACAGCTGGCATTGCAGTCTTTCCCCCCTGCCCAGGACCCCTGTTGTTGTGCAGGGACCATTGGTCACCACAACCACTGTCTCCCTGCAGCTGGGGCACAGCGCTGTGCTGGGGGATGGAGGTCTGGGTGTGCGAGGGGGTGATGCCTTGGGAGGGGGGACAAACCCCAGCCAAGGAAAGTGAGGCAGGAGAAGAGGCAGCCCAGAGAAGGTCTGCCCACCACAACCTGCACGTGCCTGTTGTTGCCCATGTGATTAATGAGAAACAGGTGTTTTCCATGGGGATGCTGCAGATAACCAGGCAATCTGAGAAGAAGGGGGCTGTGGGACAAGGGTACTGGATCCTATCCCCTCCTTGGGGGCTTGGCAGGGAGGAGATGGGACCCTCAGGACAAGACTGAGGAGTTCAGGCCATGGTGGGGGCTTGCCATTGGATAGAGAGGGGAAGGAGAAAGGGGCGTGCTGGGGTAAAACCTAGAGCAGCTGCTGGTGTTGGTGACAGTGGCACCCAGGGGTGTTTGAGGCACCTGGCCCATCAGCTGCCCTCTTGGGGCATCCCAGTGGGTGTGGGGAGTTGTAAATAGTTGTGTATGGGAAGCACAGGGGCAGCCAGGGCTGAGCAAGTGTCCTGTGCTGCAGCTGGGGGTACCCCCAAATAAACACTGGCTTTGGGACAGACGTGGGCGCCTGCGTGTGCTCTGTCGGGGACGGGCCTGGCCCCCACCATATAATCCCCTGAGCCCTGCTGGGGTGCAGAGGGCTGGGCTGCAGCTCCTTGGAGGAGCACTGGGGCACTGAATGCCAGGGGTGCAGCACAGGGGTCTTTGGGAGGCAGCAGTACTGGGTGGTACTTCTGGGTGTTGGGATACACTGGGCTGGGCTGTTGGCTCATACCAGTACTGGGTCTTGCTGCAGTTACTGGGTGGCACTCAGAGTCAGTACTGGAGTCACTGGGGAAAGTACTGGAGCCTTAGGATTTGATACTGAGAGCTGGTACTTAGTGGTCATGGGGCCATGGGGCAGGATGGAGACTTTGCAGGATGTGGGGGTGGTAGCTGGCGACACTGGACTGTACTTGGAGCACTTTGATCAGTATGGAGGTACCAGGCTCCTCTGAGCTGAGCCAGGACCCACTGGGGTCAGTGCTGGAGGGTCCTGGGCTGTCCAGGGAATAGTAATGTGGACACTGGAAGTTGGTACTGGAAGAAGTAGGGGCACTCAGAGTCAGTACTGGGAGCACAGGAGAAGTACTAGGGCATTAGGATTTGGCACTGGGAGCTGGTACTTGGTGGTGCTTTGAACAGTTGTTGGGTAGTGGGCTGTATAGGGGTCACTGAGGGCTGTAGTGGGTGATACTGGGCCATAGTAGGCACCTCTCAGTATTGGGTTAATGGAGGCAGTACTGGGCTCCTCTGGGCAGCCTTGGGAGGCGCTGGTGTGAGTGCTGGAGGGGACTGGGGCCATGCTGAGGGCAGCAATGGGCACACTGACTAGGGGTAGGGCTATACTGGCCTGTACTGGGTGCCTGCAGGGCTGTACTGGGAGTGGTGCAGGGCTGTACTGGAGGTGGTGCAGGGCTGTACTGGAGGTGGTGCAGGGCTGTACTGGGAGTGGTGCAGGGCTGTACTGGGAGTGGTGCAGGGCTGTACTGGAGGTGGTGCAGGGCCGTACTGCGCTGGGAGCTTCCGCCCTCTGGCAGCCGAGCGTGGCACTGCAGGAATCCTGCGGTCTGGGAATGGGGAAGCTCCGGGAACAGCTTGGGGGACCCGGGGGCACTGGGCTGTACGGAGGGCACTGGGAGAATCCTGGCAGGACCTGGGGTCACCGGAGGTGGGGGGACACTGGGGAGTTACTGAAGTGTTTCTGGGGACACTCATTACTGTGGTGGCCGCGATGGCAGTGGGAGGCGCTGGGGACACAGGCAGTGTGTGCTGGGGAAGGGACACTGAAGAGCTTAAGGATATTGGGGGGGCTCACTGTGTGATACCGTAGGTGTGGCACTGGGGTGCCCTTGGACGTTGGACAGGGTTCTTTTTTTGGGTGATCATCACCTAGGGAACTGGAATTGTTTGGGGACACTGGGGTTTCTTCTTGGGTTACTGGGAGGTGTTAATGGAGAGGGCCTTGGAGACCCTGGGGAAGGTACATGGGCACCCCTGAGGACACTTGTGTAGGTGTTGCTGGAGAGCTTGGGGACACTGTGGAGCTGATAATGAGTTGGCCTGGTGGCACTGGGAGTGTACTGGTGGGTGGCTGGGGGCGCTAAGGAGGGCACCCACTGTCATGGGCACATTTGTGGAGGGTCCTGGAAGGACCCTGGGGACACAGAGTGTGGTGACTGGGGCTGCCATTTGATCACTGGGGGGACTAACCCTGAAGTCACTGGGCACAGAGACCCAGGGACGCTGGGATGGCTTACTGGGGCGGGGCTGTGGGCACTGGTTCAGAGGAGGGGGTATGACCAGGTGAGATGGGGACAATGGGGACATTTCCACACACTGTGACCAAACCCCAGCAGACACACACTCTCATCCCCCCAACTCCAAACTGCTGGGATCCGCAGCAGAGCTGCAGCTGGAATAGGGGTCTCGCATCCCCCAGGGTGGCCAGGTCACTGCCCCAGCCCCAGGGCAGGGGCAAAGCAGGGGTTGGTTGGTCTGGGCCCCCCCCTTCCCCGGCAGAAGCGCTGACACTGGGAGCTACAGGATTGCTGAGCTCAGCCCGGTGCAGATTGAAGGGGGTTTATCGGGGGGGCCTGGCTTAAGCCCCGGGTGCTGAGCGCAGCCCCCTGGCAGGCGGCCCCCCGGGACCTTGGCCCCGTCCTTGTCCCACATCGGGTGGGCAGCGGCGCCGGTGGCGGCAGCGGGCGCAGGGAGCGAGCGCTGGAGGCGGCGGGGGGCTGGAACTCGTTGCCCATCCTGGTGCTGACCTCCAAGGAGCGGGTGGTGAGCCGCAGGGCCGCAGGGCCGAGGATGGGTGCCGGGGCCAGTGCCGAGGAGAAGCATTCCCGGGAACTGGAGAAGAAGCTCAAGGAAGACGCTGAGAAGGATGCCAGGACCGTCAAGCTTCTGCTGCTAGGTAAGGGGGAGATGACACCCCGGGGGACATACCTATCCTTTGTGCATCCCAGCCTAATAGCCCACCCAAGGTTCCTCTGGCAACTGCCAACACCCCTCAATCCAACCAGCACACTCCACAACCCTCCTGAACCCTACCAGCCCACCCAGTGTTCCCCTGGACCCCAGATGGACCCCCTAAAACCAAGCAACCCACCCTCACAGCTCACTCAACATTCCCCTGACTCCCCCAGCACTCCTAAAAACAACTAGCCCACTCCAACAGCCCCCCCATTTCCAGGCATCCCTAAACCCAACCTCCCCACCTCAACAGCCCACCCAATTTTCCCTGATGACTCCAGCAACCCTAAACCAAACCAGCACAGCCCAAGAGTGTCCCCAACAGCCTCACACTCCCAGACATCCCTAAAGCCAACCAACTCCTACCCAATAACCCAACCAAAGTTTCTCTAACTGCCTGCTAAACCCAACCAGTCCAACACTCCACACAACAGCCCCTGTTCCTAAGCACCCCTAAACCCAGCCAGCCCACCCTAACAGTCCCCTGACTTGCTTGGCACCCCTAAAACCAACCATCACACCCCAACAACCCAGTGCATGTTTCCCTCACACCCCCAGCACCCCTAGAGCCAACCAGCCCTTCCCAACAATCTACCATTTCCCTCACCCTCAGCACCCCTAAACCCAACCAGCCAACCCCAAAACCCCACACAGTGTTTTCCTCTCCCCATCAACACGCCTAAATCCAACCAGCTACCCCAACATCCACCCACTCTCAGGCCCCCCCCAACCCTAACCAATCCATCTCAAAAGCCTTCACCAAGACCACCTAACAACACCCCACCCTGTCAGCACCCCCCTCCTCCTAAGGACCCCTATGCAGCCCCCTTGTACTGCAGGTCCCTCCCCATCCCTCCTGGTGGTGCCTGAGTATTGGGATGCCTTGTATTTGGTGAGGCCGTGTGTGACATGGCTGCACTCATGGCCTGGCCCAGGTCATGTCCCTCTGCACTGCCAGCAGACTTTGGGTATTGGGTGGTGGGTGCTGGGGTTGTGATACCACCATGTCCCCAACCCCTCCCTTGGGTCCCCAAGTGCACTCCTGGCTGAGCTGCTGCAGATCCCATTAGCCACAGTGGCTCAGCTCAGTCTTAATGCCACTGGCACCGGGCTGTAATCCGTCTGCACACCCTGTACCATGGACCTGGCACGGCCAACAGGCCCCCAAGCCGTGTCAGACTCCAGGGGTCCCAGTGGGACAGCGTGAGGCACAGCTTGTCATGGGCACTGCCGTGACCTGTGTTCTGTCCCCTCAGGAGCAGGAGAATCGGGGAAGAGCACCATTGTCAAGCAGATGAAGTAAGTGCCAAGGAGGGGTCACTCGGCCATGCCCCCCAGTGCCATGTGCCTGTCCTAGGACACAGCCACGGGGTTCCCCCGTCCCACCATGGCTGGCTCTGCCCCATGCCACATCCATGGGCTGTGCCCACCCCTTAGTGTGTGGCTCAGCCCCATTGCACCCAGCTCAACCCATGCCTCCCTCTCTGACCAGGATCATCCACCAGGACGGTTACTCGCTGGAGGAATGCCTGGAGTTCATTGCCATCATCTACAGCAACACGCTCCAGTCCATGCTGGCCATCGTGCGGGCCATGACCACCCTCAGCATCCAGTACGGGGACACGGCTCGCCAGGTGAGGAGCATCCCACGTTGGCAGAGGGTTCCTGCTGCCCCTTGGCCCCACTGAA